AACCAAACCAAACCAAAAAAAAAAAAAAAAAAAAAAAGCTCATGCTAGACCAAGTTCTCTTTCTTGCACCCTACAGATCAAATGTAGGCAACTGGATATTCTTGTCTGCATCTCACAGGGCAGATATGAGAGGTATAAGAGTGAGCTTTTGTTTAAAATTGTGAGCATTATTGAAATCTTTCAGGACAAGAGTGATAAAGCAAGAAGGAGAGGGCCTCTGACTGACAGGCATGATACCTAGAACACCCAGCACCACACTCAGGACCGGCAGAGGAGAATGAACCTGCAGATAGGGGAGAAATCCAGGCATGTGGTATGACCCAATGAAACATGGAAATAGCATTCAGACTTTATTCAAACTAGCAACCATTAAGAAGCTTGCACCTGAGATTTAATTTTTTTCTGACAATGATCTATTGTTTCATTATTTCAAAACTGAGATTAGGTTGCTACAATTTTATTGTCTCCTTAGTTACAAGAAAAGTATCCAGTACTTTTATAAAATAGCACTACCAATGTGAAGTGTCATTTCTGCTTTCCTGCTGCTCTAAGCCTATTGTCAAGCTGCTAGAGACAGTCTGTCTAATGCTGGAGAGAAACGCTCATGCCAGCTAAGGTGCTCTGCTTCTCACTGCTGAGCTGTTCACATGAAGACATGAGTTGTACTTCATCAGTAAGATCATACTGCCTAAGATGCGAATGTTAGAAAGTTATAGTATTTTACAGTAGAGATAAACATACTCTTCAGGGGATAGAGTTAAACAATTTCAGAGTAAGGGATATTGAAGAAAGGAAAGAGAGTTGAGTGGTTTGCATTGGCTAAAAATGACAGATCCTTTTGATGGAGGGAAAAAAAAACCCTATAATCAGCTTTATAAATAGAGGGGTATTCTTCGAATGTGCTCCGGTAGATTTTTTTTTTTTTAATAGAGCCATCCCTGGCTCCTATCAGACATACCAGATGAGGGCATTGGATCCCATTACAGATGGTTGTGAGCTACCATGTGATTGCTGGGAATTGAACTCAAGACCTCTGGAAGAGCAGTCAGTGCTCTTAACCACTGAATCGTCTCTCCAGTCCTAGATTTTTGTTTTATTTTGTTTTTAAAGATTTATTTTTATTTTATGTGTATTACTATTTTGCCTGCATCACTAGGGTGCAGTGCCTCTGGAGGCCAGAAGAGGGTGGTAGAACATCTGAAACTGGAGTTACAGACAGTTGTGAGCTGCCAGGTGCTGGGGTAGGGTAGATTTCTAGGCAGTTAGATTACAGAGTACAGAGTTATCTCCTGACTTCAGACAGCTAGTGTCAGGTGACTAGAGTTAAATGCACATATAGCTAGTTTTCATAAAAATTTAAATATGAAAATGTTAGGTGTTTTTGTAGTTCACATTCAGTGAATATACAAACATTAGGAGCTGTTTATAGCTGGGTAATGATGGCACATACCTTTAATCCTAGTACTTGGAGGCCAGGGGTAGATGGGTCTTGGTGACTTCAAGGCCAGCATGGTCTACAGAGCTAGTTCTAGGACAGCCAGGGCTACACAGAGAAACCCTGTCTTGAAAAATAAAAATAGGCCGGGCGGTGGTGGCGCACGCCTTTAATCCCAGCACTTGGGAGGCAGAGGCAGAGGCAGGCGGATTTCTAAGTTAGAGAGTTCGAGGCTAGCCTGGTCTACAGAGTGAGTTCCAGGACAGCTAGGGCTACACAGAGAAACCCTGTCTCGAAAAACCAAACCAAACCAAAAAAAAAAAGAAAAGAAAAGAAAAATAAAAATAAAAAGAAAGAAAAGAAGGAAGAGAAGAAAAGAGGAAAAGAGAAAAGAGGAGAGGAGAGAAGGTAGTTATAATATACTACCAGTGCTTGAGAGGGGAGGCAGGAAAACCAGGAGTTCAAGGCCAGCTTTGTTTACATGAGACCCTGTTTCAAAAAACAATGACAAAAATTAAGTATCGACAGCTCTGGATTTATCTGTGACGTTTTCAGAAGAGATTCAAGTACTTCTTCACTTGTTTTTACGAAGGAGGAAGAATAAAAGGTGATTAAAATTGAAGATTTACATAAATATTTACAACTGACACATACTTTTCATATATCAAGTCAACACAGAACATTCTAAAACTGCTGATTCTGTTTGTTGAAAGTTTGAGTTTGTTTTGTTTTGCAAATGAAGTGCACTGTAGAGCAGTAAGAAAATGTAAGGAACTTTGGCTTTGAACCTATTTGCCTCAGTTTCCTCATCTGGGAAACAGAGATAATACTGCCTGCCTGAGAGGTGGCTTCCAGTAGGATTTAATATATTATTACTGTCCAGTCTTGGACATCAGGACTCATGGACTAGCACATTTCCTGTGGACAAGCCTCTTCTGACAAGAAGGACAGGAAGTGCGGTGCCTTGGGCTGCCTGCCTCTTCCTGGAGCCCAGCTCCACACATGTCTCCCCTCTTCAGCTCCTGTCAGCTCTTTTGTCATCTGAAAGTTGAGGGCGTTAGAATATGATAGTGTTGATTGTCAACGTGGCAACACAGAAACACCTAATCTAAATGAGGGATTTTCTAGATCATACTGGCCAGTGGAGGACTCTGGAATGCTTTCACTGGCGTAAGAGACTCAGCCTAAAACCCAGCTGTAGTATTTTCTGGGTTTGGATCATGGACTGTATAAACAAAAGAAGAAAGTGAGCTGAATACAAGCATGCCTAGTTTCCTTCTCATCAATCTTGACTGGATGTGACTTGCTGCTTCAAGTTCCTGCCTTGACTTCTCCACAACAGTAGACTATAGCCTAGAACTGTTCCCAATGAACCATTCTTTGGTAAAGTTGCTTTTGTCACAGCAACAGAAAAGAAACAACTACAGTGTAGGACCACACGTTTGCTATTTCTTACAAGCAGGCAAGCGTACCTGGCACTAAAAGTTTTGTTTTGAGACAGATCTTCAGTATGTAGCCCCAGCTGGCTTGGAACTTACTATGCAGACCACATTGATCTTGAACTCATAGTATCAATGTGCCTTTGCAAACTCCCTAGTGTTACGACTAAAGGTATGTGTCACCATACTCTGCCTAGCACTAAAGTTTTTAATTGTAGATTGTAAGGTCTGGTCAATCAGCTTCTGGGTCAGGCCAAGGTACCTGAGCGCTTCATGATCAACTGGGAAATGTGTCTATGGGGAAACAGCCAGAACATCGGCCACAGTCTTTCCATTCTCCTCTTCTAGTGTAGTACAGGTGGGACGGGAAAATCCACAATTGATACAGTGTTTCTTCTGAAGGCAGATGAGTCTGTAGCATTCATGTTCATCAGGACAAGTGTTCTAGCACTTAGGATGGCAGATAATCATAATGGTGGCATGTAGAGTCAAGAGCCTGTCAGACTGCTGAGAACAGAGAGGATGTTGTCGGCTTGAAGAGGTACCGTGTGCCTCCAGGAACTGAGTTTAGCAACCAAAGCCACAGGGCTAGATGGTGGAAATGGGGCAGGATGACAGGATCCCTCAAGTAACTTGGTTAGGCTCAGATCTACCTCAGTTTTCTTCCCTTTGTTTTTTTTTTTTTTCCTACTAATTCTTAAATTTCTCCTCTGTCATTTTTAGACAGTATCTCAATAAGCTCAAGTTGGCCTGGAACTCAGCGTGTAGCTGAGGGTAACTTCTCACCCTCCTGAGTACTAGGATTATAAGTGTGCGCTGCATGCCTGTGTGCAAGCATTTGCCAGATAAGCTCTGTTTCTAGACCCCAGTTTTTCCTTATAGAGAGTGGGAAAGTCATTTGTTTGTTTTTTTTTAAATGTATTTTTCCATTCTTGACCCTCCCTCCCTTTTCCCCCATGTTAAGGATTGAACCTAGGGCTTGACAGATGTAGATAGAACAAGTGCTCCCGCCATAGTTCTGGGTCTGTGCTTTGTTTGGTTTTGTTTTTAGAGATGGGGTCTTGGCATATAACCCAGGTTGACTTCAGACTTGTAATACTCCCGCCTCAACTTCTCAAGCACTAAGTTTACATGCATGTACTACCATACCTGGATATATTTTAATCATTTTTTCATGTATATGGGTATTTTGCCTGGTGGTATGTATGTGTACCACATGTGTAGCTGGTGCCTACAGAGGCCAGAAAAGGGTGTCAAATCTCATGGAACTAGAGTTACAAATTTTTGTGAGTCGTCATGTCGATCCTGGGAATTAATTGAACCTGGATTCTGGGAGAGCAGCCAGTACTCTTAACTGATGAGTCATCTCTCTGATGCCATATATATTTTTATAGTTACAAATTTATTTATTGTCAGGGGCAAGTATACAATACACAACACATATGGAGGTCAGAGGACCACTTCCCAAGAGTTCTCTTTTTCTACCATGTGGGTTATAGGAATGGAATTCAGGTCGACAGACTTGATGACAAGCATTTTTACCCAGTAAGTTTTATTTTATTTAAATTGGGGCTGGAGAGATAGTTTAGCAGTTAAGAGCATTGACTGTTCTTCAAAAGGACCTAATTTCAATTCGTGCCACCCAGTTGGTGGCTCACAACTGTCTGAAACTCCAGTTCCAGGGCCCTCTTCTAGACTCTGTGGGCACCAGGTATCCACACGATGGATAGATACACATTCAGACAAAACACATAGACACATAAAACAAAATCTCAAAATAAAATTTAAATTACATGTATGTCTGTGTGTGAATATATGTAAGTATAAGTTTTATTTTTAGCTACACACACTACACTCAGGTGCCCGTGGAAGCCTGAAGAGGGCGGTGGTGGGAGGCGCTCAGTGCTCAGTGTAGGTCCTCTAGCACACTGACGGTATAGACGCTGTTCTTTATGTGATTGTGTTGAGTAACAATAATTTGTGGTCAAATATAGAAGCATGTGGACTGACCCACTATTGATATTTGGGGTGCTTAGTTCAGATATCAGAGGTCTTTGCAAAAAGTGGGGGTAAGAATAGAGGCATGTGATGTGATGATGACTAATTTTTTTTCTTTCTTTTTACAGTTCCAATTCCTAGCAAATTTACTAGACGAGTATCAGGTATGTGCTCTCTTTTATGACATACTGCTAAAATCCTGTTTTAAGATATGAATATCTTAAGTGACCATAATTCATCTCTAACCTGAAAAGATATTATATACTTACTATATATATAAAACATATATATAATTACTGTTATTTTTTAATGCTAAAAGTAAAACTGTGATTCCTTCATTCTGAGTAAATGTATACATATATTATTACAATTTTTCTCTTTGCATCTGTTTCATAAGACTTTTCTATGTTTACAAATAGAGAATTATTTCCAAAAGTGATTTTTCATGTTACTACTTTTAGCATCGTAGATTATACTGCCATTAAATTTTCTCATGAGTTTTTTTTTAAGATTTATTTATTTATTTATTTATTTGTTTATTATGTATATGAGTTCTGTAGCTGTCTTCAGACACACCAGGAGAGGGCATCAGATCCCATTACGGATGGTTGTGAGCCACCATGTGGTTGCTGGGAATTGAACCCAGGACCTCTGGAAGGTCAGCCAGTGCTCTTAACCACTGAGCCATCTCTCCAGCCTCTTCTCATGAGTTTTAAAGTCACTTGATTTATGTCTTTAGTTATAGCATGAAAAGTGGTTGTTCTCTGGTGAGAGACTGACATTGTCTTGGCTTTTACTCTTTTTAGAAGCAGCGTATAGGTAGCAGGGGAAAGGTATCCCAAATATGTCTTTTTGTTTTTTCACTACTAACTCAGAATAAGCAATTTAGTGCAAATAGACCTTTAGCTCACTTGACAGTCCTCTACTTGTTAACAAAAATTAATGCTTTCAGAATTCAGAAAATCTATTTGTATTTATAGTCCCCCTTTCTGAGTCAGGGTCTTACTACTCCAGGCTGCCATCCGTGTTTAATGATGACCTTCTGACCCTCTCTCCTCCCACACACATGCACATGCTTAGATTACAGGCATGCCCCACTGTGCATTCAGTGCTGGGAATGGAACGTCACACTCTACCAGCTGAGCTAAATCCCCAGCCTCTAGGTTTTTGTTTTCTTTATGGGACTAGCTTGATAACATTTTTTGTTATTTTATGTATTATAGTCCAAGTTAGTATTATTTTTTCCAACAGATGAAAAATACTTTTATTAAAGGTTAAGAAATACACAACAAGGCACGCAGAGACAAAGACCCCTACAAAGTGGAGGGGTGGAGTCTGGAAATAAAAGTCCCAAAATATTATTATTATTATGTTAAAATATTTATTATTATTTCATGTGTTAATGGGTATTTTGTTCACATCCTTGTCTGCGAATCACATGCATGCCTGGTGCCAAGATGGCCAGAAGAGGGTGTCAGATCCTTTGGGACTGTAGTTAGAGATGGTTGTGAGTGAGGTGCCATGCTGGTGCTTGGAACTGAACCTGGTTCCTCTAGAAGCACAGCCAGCACTTTTAAGTACTGAGCTATCTCTCCAGCCCCCCCAGCTCCCCAAATTATGTTTTTAAATAAGTTTTGTTGGTGGTGGTGGTGGTGGTTTTTATCTTTGGTTTTATTTATTTTAGACAGGACTGATTAGGTAGCCCACTGATGGATTCATGATTTTTTGTTTTATTGATTGATCGATTGATTGATTTTGAGGCAGGGTTTCTGTGTGTAGCCCTGACTGTCCTGGAACTCACTCTGTAGACCAGGCTGGCCTCGAACTCAGAAATCCGCCTGCCTCTGCCTCCCAAATGCTGGGATTAAAGGCGTGCGCCACTACTGCCCAGTTTGGATTCATAAATTTTGAAAGCACTGTTTTCTTTTGTTTTATTTTTTGGGGATTGGAGCTTGATGTGTAGCCTAGGCTGGTCTTGAACTCATGGCTGTCTTCCTGTCCTCAACCTTCTGGGTTCTGGAATGCAAGCATATACTACCATACCTGTTCTAACTGATACTTTCTTGATACAGTCTCAAATTAGTGTTAACTGTCTTTGAAATATGTCTATCAATTTCAAAATTTCATTCATCAAAAATAAAAGGAAAAGAAAACAGACTTCATATATATGTTGAGGCTTTAAAACACATTAAGCAGAGATCTGTGTGTTAACATCTATGCGTCTGTGCAGTGAGTTTCTGACTACTGATGACTGACAAGCTAGTTCATTGGGAATCTGATACTGTATTAGTTATTTATTTAATTTTAAAGATTATTTGTTTATTTGTGTATATGAGTGCTCTGTCTGCAAGTACATCTTCATGCCATAAGAGGCCATCAGATCCCATTGCTGATGGTTGTGAGCCACCCACTGGTTGCTGGGAATTGAATGCAGGACCTCTGGAAAAGCAGCCTCTTAACCTCTTAACCACTGAGCCATCCCTCCTGCCCCAGTTATTTATTTCTAAGTGTAATCTCTTTGCTAAATAGCACTGCCATGTAAGGCTTACATGCTTACAATGTACTAAAATAGTATACTGTATTCTTTCCTACCATAGTTATTTTAAACTGAAATGTCACTAACAGTTGCTTAATATAATTTAGAAATCCAGTGAAAAACTGGATTATGCCTCCTCACCAAATATATACATTGAAGCCATACCAATGGGATTATAATTGAAAATACAGCCTTTAAAGGGGTTATGAAGGTAAAAAAAAAAAAAAAAGTAGGACTTTTGTCCTTATAAAAAGAGGAAGGGAGTTGGGAGATGGCTAGCCTGGAACATGCTTGTAATGAAAGTTTGAGGAACTGAGTTGGATTGCTGGCACCCACATAAACATTTTAAATGTGGAAACACACATCTATGATGTTAGAGCTGGGAAGGTGGAAGACGTGTGGATTCACGCAACTCACTGGCCAGTCACCTAACTGAAGCTGTGAGCTCCAGGCTCAGTTAAAGACTATCTAAAAAAAATATAAGGTGGAGGCTGGGGTATTGGAGCATGCCTTTAGTCCCAGCACCCAGGAGGCAGAGGTAGATGGATCTTTGAGGCCAGCCTGAGCTGCATACTGAGACTCTGTCTGAAATACATACATAGATACTTGAGAGACACTTGATAGATAGATAGATAGATAGATAGATAGATAGATAGATAGATAGATGATGGATGGATAGACAGATGGATGGATGGGATGTAGAGTAATGAAAAAGGCACCCTCTGGTACACATGAACATGTGCATACACATGATACCATACTTTCTCTTTTTTTTCTAAAATTACACATTTTACAGCTTCCATTTTTTTCTCTCTCCAATTTTTAGTCTGTGCAGAAACATTTAACCCTGATGAAGAAGAGGAAGATAATGATCCAAGGGTAAGAACTAAAGCTGAAGTTTTAAGTAGAATTGTATTTTCCATGAATTCTCTTCTACATGCCTCATATAAACTACTGGCAGTAGAAGTATCTCCGTGTGAGTCACACGCTTTCTCACACAGACCCTAGCTTCTCGTGTTTGCATGCCTGTGTGAGAGTGGGTATAGACTGTAAGACTAAACAGGCAGCCGCAAGAGAGCAAGAGCTGGAGAGGAGAGCTGAGGAGGAGGGCAGGAGGACTTCTGCATCCTGAAGAGGGAAATGAAAAGGAGGGTACTGAGGGTTCAAAGGTCAAGTGGGGGAGAGAAAGAAAAGGGGATTGGAGAACAGAGGAAGGAATCGAGAGAACAAAATCAACATTTGCATGAAAAATATCAAAGAAAACTTAATGTTTTGTGACTAATTAAAGTGAAATTTAAAAGTATCTATGGGATGCCATTTTTTATACAATAGATTGAAACCAGCTCTGGTTGAGGGTTTGGTGAGGAGCACCTGACTGGCTTTGCAGAAGCCTTAGTCTTAGTCAGCTGACACAGTCAGACTCAGCAGTTACCAGGGAAAGTTCTTCCTAAGGATACACAAATGGAGATCATTACATTGTTGTAATAGTGAAAAAAAAAAACTAAAACAAGTCTTAATAAAGGAATACAATTTCCTATTGCAAATGATGATAGTTACAGCCACACAGACACAGATGGCTCCAGAGTCGTGCATCTTGCTCTGTATTACCATAGAAACATGCTTTTTGTAGAGTTGTAATACATACATATATGCATGCATACATATAATACATACATACATATTCTTTGTTTTTTTTTCTCATTTTTTAGGAAAAAACATTAATTTTTAGATGTGTGATTTGTGATTTCTAAATGCAATAAAATAATTTTCTTGGCTTTGTTTCATCTGACAGGTGGTTCATCCCAAAACTGACGAGCAGAGGTGCAGGCTTCAGGAAGCTTGCAAAGATATTCTTCTCTTCAAAAACCTTGATCAGGTAACACTGATTTTTTTTTTGTGTTGTTGTTGTTTTTTTGAGACAGGGTTTCTCTGTGTAGCCCTGGCTGCCCTGGAACTCACTCTGTGGACCAGGCTGGCCTCGAACTCAGAAATCCTCTGCCTCCCAAGTGCTGGGATTAAAGGCGTGCACCACTACTGCCCGGCTTGATTTTTTTTTAATACTTGTATTATAATGATATTTTTAGCTTTTTTCCTACTTGGCATGTAATCAATTTTAAGCACATTAGCTGCAGTTGTATTAGGCACACATTCTCAGACTTGTTTACTTACCAAAAAAAAATGCTTTTATTCTGTTGATCACTATAATTATAGAAGCTTATGATTTTATTGTTGTTTTGTTTTAAGACAGGGTCTTACTATGTAGCTTTAGCTAGCAGTGAAACTCCCCATGTAGACAAGGCTGGCCACCAACTCAGAGAGATCTACCTTGTCCTGCTTTCTGAGTGCTGGGATTAAAGACACTACAACATCTACTGAAGGCATGGTTTTTAAATGCCTTTAGTTATACTAGTGATCTAGATGTAGCTAAGTTATGCGTCTATGAAATGCCAAGGTGACGTGGTCCCAGCTTTGTTTGGAGGGTCTACATTTGTTTGGCAGAAGAATTGATTTCCCTAGAGATGCTGCTGTGTAGTTCTCTTCACCATGGCAGCTAATCCACTCCAAGTGCGTGGTTGTTTCCTATGCTTCACATGGAGGACTCCTCTTGTAATGGCTTCTGTCTTGTGAATCTACAGGGTTTCACATAGAATGTGTGTCCAGGTATCTCTTGCAGTGTGTGTGCGTGTGTGTGTGTGTGTGTGTGTGTATGCGTGTATGCTATGGTACACATGTGGAGGTCAAAGGACAACTTATATAAATCAGTTCTTTTCTTCTGTGTGGGATCCTAGGGATCAAATTCAAGACATCAGGATTCGGAAAATGTTCTTACTTTCTGAGTCACATCACCAGCCCTCTGCTTTTTTTTTTTTTTTTTTTTTTTTGAGACACGGTTTCTCATGGTTTTCACTGGTTATATTAGCCAGCCTGGCTCCCAGTGAGCTCTGGGGAATCTGCCTGTTTCTGCCCACCCATTGCTGGGTTATTGATGCACATCTGTGCCTGGCTTTTATGCAGGTTCTGGGGATTCAAACTCAGATTCTTTTGTGACAAGCACTTTACCCACAAGCCATCTGCACAGCCCCAATTTTTAACATCCTGTCTGTAACAATTCTCTGCTTTGAAGGCCATTTACTAAAGCCACAGGCATGGCTGAGGCTAGACCTATTTCTAGGAATCCCAGACTGTACAGAGGCAGGAAGATTGGGGTTAGAAATCCCTCACTACTGAGCTCTTAGGGAAGACTGATAATCACTTCAGCTCTCCAGGGATCTGACTGCTTTATGCTACTGACTCTGGGAGGCAACCATCTCTGCTATTTGTCAACCTGTCTGATAGTAGCCATATGGCTTATAGGAATGCCCAAAACTTTATGTGGTGCTTGTTAGTCTGAGACTGAATAAAACAAGGACAATGAGTTGAAGAACTGTCCTGTTTATCTGGAGTACAGTCTAGTTTGTGATAGCTGTTTTCCCTGAGAGATCCCATCTATATAAATAAATGGAGAGGGGCTTTCTTTTTTACTTATTGTTAATAAAGCCATCTGTCAATTTTAACTATCAAGAGTTGTAGGCAAGTTTTATTTCCCAGTATTGAATACACTTTTATTATTTTTCTTACTGAAATATAAATCAGCAGGAGGAGGCAGAGACAGGAGGATCTCAAGTTTGAGGCTGATCTGGGCTGTACATCAAGAGCCTGTTGGAAAAATCAAAGAAAGAAAGGGAATAGGGAAGGAAAGGAGAAGAAAAGAAGGAATCTGACATGTTATATTGTTACTAGTTTTCCTTCCGTTGAATTTTTGTTGTTGTTTTTTGAGCATGTTATGTGTGCATAGCAGGCATGTTCTCATGTGTTTGGGTGTGGACCAGAGGCTGATGCTGGGTATTGTCCCATCACTTTCCACTTTATATATTGAGGCCCAGTCTTCCATTGAGCCTGGAGTTGCCCAGTTCACCTGGTCTAGCCATCTAGCTTGCCCCAGCGGTCCCCTAAATCCTGCCTCATCGGCACTGGGATTACAAATGAGCTGCCCCGTCCGCCTCACACTTCTGCCTGGGTGCTGTAAGCCCAACCCAGCTCTCTACACTTGCATGACAAGTAGCGTCCCCGTGAGCTGTGCTGTCTCCTCAGCCCTATTTTCTCCTGCTTTTATATTCATATTCTCTATTCAGTCTTATAACAAAATTATATCTAGCTGTGCTTGATCTGCCAGATACATCTATCCATCCCTTGTCAAAGGGGTCACCATCCTTATTCCTAAAGAGCTGAACGGTAATCATTCCTGCCACAGCTTTAGCTCTGCAGTCTGATATCAGCACACTTTGACCTGAATACTCTGATGTGCGTATTATGAACTAGAGTTCTACTTATATACGTTTCTAGTCTGTGTAGGAATTGAGCCAAGAACCTCACACATGCTAGGAAGTGTTCTAGGTCTCCTGGCTGGCTTTGGTTCAGTTTGTAGAGCAGGATAGGCCTAATCTCAAGGTTTTTTACTTTTTATTTTGAGACAGTGTCTCCCTGAGTTGCCTAGGCTGGCCTGTAGCTCACACTGTAGCCCAGAGAGGCTCTTCATACCTTAGCCTCCCTAGTAGCTGAGGTCATAGGTCTGCACTGTCAGACCTGGTGGTAAATTAGTAATCTTTAGTATATTATATAGTCTTTGGTGTATCAGGTTTGACAGATGCATTCACAGGTGATCTTTAATCAGATACTATGTAATTATCTATCTAACCAGATAATCTAATCTAATTGTCCTTAACCTTAAAATGCCTTTTCATGATTAATGCTGTCCCTTCCCATTTTGGAGGCAATTACTGTTTTGATTTATTTCATAATTGATTGGTTTCATTTATTTTAGAATTTCATATAAATAGAATTGCAGCATGTATTATTATTAATATTATTTTTGTTTTATTTTTTGAGACAAGATCTCTCTATATATAACCCTAGCTGTCCTGGAACTCACTTTGTAGACCAGGCTAGCCTCCAACTCAGAGATCCACCTGCCTCTGCCTCCCAAGTGCTGGGATTAAAGGCATGTGCCACCACCGCCCGGCAACAACATGTATTCTTAATATAAGGTTCTTTCCACTCCTAGTTTTGCTGTTCACCCATGTTCATTTTGTAATTTCCTTTGTCCTCAGCTTCCTCCATTCTTGCCTTCTGCTTCCTCTATTTCTCTGCTCCTCCTTTCTCTTTTCTTTTTGTCTGTGTCTCACTATGTAGTCCCAAGCTAGACTTTATTACTTACTATGTAGCTCAGGCTAACCTTGAACTGGTAGTCTTCTTGCTTCAACCTCCTGAATACTGGGGTTAGAGAAATGTACCACCATACTAAGGAGATAATGCCCATTTGCATCAGGTCTCTATAGTCTTTATTTTGCGTTCTGTATTCAGTAATGTAGCTAAGGGCAAAATTGCTGAGTTGTGGGGCTGGAGAGGTGGCTCAGAGGTTAAGAGCACTGACTGCTCTTCCAGAGGACCTAAGTTCAATTCCCAGCAACTATAGTGAGTTATAACTGTCTGTAACTTAGTAGCTATACAACTATGAGGATCTGAGTTTGGATCCCCAGCACCGAGATAAAAACCCCAACATGGCCTTGTACCTTTATAACCGTAGCACAGTGGGAGTGGATCCTCAAAGCTCACTGGCTTCCCAGTCTAGCCCAGTCTAGCACTGGGTTCAATGATAGACCCTGACTCAAAAGATAAAGTAGGGAACAATCAAGGGAAGACACTCAAAATCTACCTTTGGCCTCCACATGCGTGTACACACACATACAATGCATTCCCAAATACAAATGGACACACACGGTTTTTAAATTTCAAATTTATAGTAAAGTCAAAAGAATAGTACCAGGAACACCTTTAAATGCCTTTAACCACAGTGTGTGTGTGTGTGTGTGTGTGTGTGTGTGTGTGTGTGATATATGCATGTAGCATATGTATGTGTGTGTCTAGATATGCATGCCCATGTGCAGAGGTCAGAAGAGGAGGTTGAGTGTCCTGTTCTGTCATTCTTAGCCTTAGAACTTTAATGCAGGGTCTCTTGTGAGCCTGAAACTAAAGCTCTAGAAATTCTTCTGAATTTATCTTTTACTTTTATTTTTGCTGGAATTACAAGCTGTGTCCAGCTATTTTATGTAGTTATTAGGGATTTGTACTCAAGTTCTCTTCTTTGCACACCTAACTCTCACCTGCTGACTGGTTCCTCAGCCCCATGAACTAGTTAACATGTTCATTGTTTACTGTTCTCATCATATAGAAGTTTGTGACAAGGAGAAAGAAGGACGTCTTTTGTTCTGGGCTATTTGTCCATGTGTAAGACTTTATGACTTTTCATCACAAGATGCTTTGGAAAATATTTTCCAAGGATGAAAGTATATATAGCCCTGGCTGCCCTGGAACTCACTTTGTAGACAAGGCCAGTTTCCAACTTCCAGGGATCTGCCTCTGCCTTCCAAGTGCTGGGATTAAAGGTGTGCACTATATGTTTTGTTTTTTAAGTTGAACCTATTCATATTCTTTTTTTATGATTTATTTATTTATTTATTTATTTATTTATTTTTAATGTATGTGAGTACACTGTCACTGTCTTCAGACACACTAGAAGAGGGCATCAGATCCCATTACAGATGGTTGTGAGCCACCATGTGGTTGCTGGGAATTGAACTCAGGACCTCAGGAAGAGCAGTCTTAACCGCTGAGCCATCTCTCCAGCCCCACATGTGTTCTTGATGTGTGGCTCTTTGTTCTCAGTTGAGGCACATGCTGTACTTGATGTGATCATTTCATCTCTGTTTCCTCTAGTGTAGAACGACTCTCTTCCCCTCACACCTCAGGACAGTTTCTAGAGAATTACAAGAGAAAGTACTCAGAATAAGAGCCCTCCTCAGATCTGCCCAGAGATGTTGCTTAGTCTGGATTATACGAGAAAATTTGAATGTATTGCCAGTATTTTTTTTCCTCTTTCTTTTTTTTCCTTTTTCTTGGCAGCATTTAACTAGAAAATTTCAGGGATTGTCAGTCCATGTTTTATAGGAGCGTGGATGGCGCACAGTAGTAAGCACTCTTTTAGTACGGTAGCTTGTACGGTAGTCAGCACCTATGGGGCTTTAGAATTAAAGATGCCTTTTGGCATTTTATTGTAGGAAACAGAATTCCTCTGACAGAAATTACACGGAATTTCACAGAAATAACATCATTTCTCTCTTAAGTTAGAGCTAGTATTCCTTTGTTTTTTACACTCTGGCCCTGAGAATTGAACTTAGGACCTCACATACTTGAGACGTGCATTCTGTGACTGAGCTGTATGTATGTGGAGGTGCATGTTGTCGGAGCAGTGCGTGTCCACGTAGAAGCTAGCGGGCAGCCTCAGGTGCCATTCTTTAAATGCTGTGTGCTTTTTAAAAACATGGGTTTTTGGAAATCAAACTCAGATTGAATGAGCCATTTCTCCCACCCCGTCCCCTTTTTTGAGATAATGGTGTCATGTAGCACAGGCTGGCCTTGAACTCACTAAATAGCCAAGGATGACCTTGAATTTTTTTCAGATTTATTTATGTAATATATATGTTATATATAATATATGTAATATATATATATATATATATATATATATGAGAGTACATTGTCTGCATGTACATCTGCATACCAATAGACAGCACCAGACAGTTGTGAGTTGCCTTGTAGGTTCTGGGAGTTGAACTCAGTTCCTTCAGAAGAGTAGCTAGTACTCTTAACAACCATTGAGCTATCTCTCCAGCCACAACCTTGAACTTCTGTTGTTCCTGTTTTTAACCTTCTCACTGTAAAGCTGCTGTTTTCTGTGCCCCCTGCCACTCGTTAATCTACTTTTCTTTTTTTTTTTTTTTTTTTTTTTTTTTGGTTTTTCGAGACAGGGTTTCTCTGTGTAGCCCTGGCTGTCCTGGAACTCACTCTGTAGACCAGGCTGGCCTCGAACTCAGAAATCCGCCTGCCTCTGCCTCCCAAGTGCTGGGATTAAAGGCGTGCGCCACCACCGCCCAGCTGTTAATCTACTTTTCTAATGGAAGGACTCTAACTTAGGGCTGAGACCAGTGTTTGATCAGAATTTAGTAGTAGTGTCTCCTTTTTATTATATTTATTCATATAATTACTTTCTGGTTATGACATGTATTGTGGTAAGTACATAATTGTATATGGTATGCATAAGTGAAATATGCATATATTTCCTGTCCATGAGATACCACTTACTAAGCAACACTGTGTAGCAAAATGCTCTCCTTACATTTGCCTACTTAGTCATAAAAACTGATGAGATAAAAATTAAACTTTTTTTAGAAGTTAGCTGTGCTGGCCTACTCAGGTAAAGCCCCTGTAGTCCCTCTCTACAGGATCGCCTCTGAGGCCGCCTGTTGGATTGGTAGTTGTCTGCACTGCTTTGGCTCCCAGCAGGTTGCAAGCACGCACCAGCCCAGGAGCAATCTGGATTCACAAATGAAACACACACACACCAGTTAGTTTTTGACATGTGATTAGCTCAATGGCTGGGCACTCCTAAACTCTCCCCTGCTAGCCAATGCTCTCCTCTGGTACTCCTGAGACTCCTAAACCTTCCCCTGCTGACCCAGGCCCAATTGGGGAAATGGCTGGTTGGCTTTCTCTCCTGTAGCTCTTATGGCCCATCCTTCTCCCCCAAGTCATGCCAATTCCCCGTCTTCCTTTCTCCCAGTTCCTAGCCCTTGCAAATCTAAAGGTCCTGCCTTAGTCAGCCTGCACAGCCATTGGCCATTGGCTCTTTATCGATCCATCAAAAACCAATTGGGGACAAGGACACAACAGTTTTCTGATTTTGGGGGCCAGATTAATTCAAAGCATTGGAACCAATCCCCAACAATCTGCTCTAGATTTGCTAAGCCTATTCATGCTCATGTCTATTCATTTAGGAAAGTGATGGCACACAGGTTTATATACAGTATTCCGGAGTCATCCAGGTAGAACAGTTGTGTAGGTGCAACTAGGGAAATTGGAACTAGGATTTAGATAGCCAGTTTTCATTTAAATTGTTGGAAAGCTCTTTATTTTTTAAATAATGGTTATTATCACATGTTAATTATTAAAATTAATGGGTTTCATTACAACATTCCCATGTATGTAAATGTCTCTTCCAGCCATTCTCCTGTTCCCCTTTCCTCATAGTCCATAGTCCTTCTCCATTTCCAGGTTATCTTTCTGTTGTTCATTTTTTACACACAAGAGAAAACATGCCCGCTTGTCCTTCTGTGTTTGTTTTACTTCGTTTAACATGATGCTGCCCAGTTCCATCCATTTCCTACAAACATACCATGACTTTATTCACCTTACTGTGTAGATACCATATTTTCTCCATCCGCTCACATGTTGATGGCCATATAGGCTGATTTCATATTTTGGCTCTCATGAGTAGTAACATAAAAGTATGAATATGTATTTTGTCTGCTGACTTCATTTCCTTCTGATGAGTACCCAACAGTGGTGGAGTTGGCGCATACGCAGCTCTATTCTTAGCCTTTTGAGGAGCTTACATATTTTTTCCATAGTGGCTCTGCTAATTTACACCTGCCTCCAGGATACAAGTTCCTATTTTTTTCACTTCCTCACCAGCATTTGCTAACTTTTCTTATAGTATCCATTTGATTTAGGGTGGCATGAACTCTCAATATAGTTTTGATTTGCATTTCCCTGATGACTAAGGATGTTGATATTGAACCTCTCCCCCATTTCTTTTCTTTCTTTTTTTGAAGTGATCCTATACATTTGTCTTAGTGTGGCCTTGAATTCTGCCTAGGATAACCTTGAACTTCTGATCCTTCTGCTTGTATTTCTCAGTGCTGGAATTAAAGTGTTTGTTTATTTATTACAGCACTTGGAGTCAAACCCAAGGCTTCTTTATGTGAGGCAAAACACTCTGCCAGCTGGGCCACATTCCCAGCCTCAGATATCTACCTGCCTCTGCCCCCTGAGTGCTGGGATTAAAAGTGTTTGCTGGCCTTGTCTTTCTTTTAATAAAATGTCTCTTGTCTCTTCAGATCATTAGCCCATTTTTTTTTTTAACCTGACTACCCTTTCTTCTTCATTTTTTTTTTTTTAACATTTTGGACTTCTAGGAAGTTTTTTAAAAAAAATTTTTTTTGACATGGTGGGGAATTAAACTTAGGGGGTTGTGCATGCAGATTATGCCTGAACTTCACCCTCAGCCCTGGTGTGTGTGTGTTTGTTTGGAGTTCTGTATATATTTTGGATATTGATTTTGTTCTATATATATTTTGGATATTGATTCTCTGTTAAGCAAATTAGAAAGCTTTTCAAGACAGTACTACCTTAAAAGAATTGGCAGGCCAGACTCAAGAGACTGACAGGACCATCAAAAATTCCAACCCAACTCAGTGTGGTGGTGCATGCCTTTAATTACAGCACTCGGGAGGCAGAGGCTGGTGGATCTTTGAGTTTAGAGCCAGCCTGGTCTACAGAGCAAGTTCCAGGACAACCAAGGCTACACAGAAGCCCTGTCTTGAAAAGCCCTGCCTTCTAATGAGCCTAAAGCCAAATAGTATAAAACATTCATTTCCCTTAGCTCTCAGGTTTCGGCTTTAATCTTGGTTGTGATCTGGTATAGAACCTTATTATATATAATCACATACTTTGGGATAAATTAAGGATGTACAGCGCCATTCAAGCTGACCGTCATGTTTTCTCAGCAAATGTAAAGCCACCTGTTCTCTTTGTGTGTACCTTAGGAGCAGCTTTCTCAAGTTCTGGATGCCATGTTTGAAAAGATAGTCAAAACTGACGAACATGTCATTGACCAAGGAGATGATGGAGACAACTTTTATGTCATAGAACGGTAGGTAGAGATGCTTTGTAAATGCTTGGCCACATCTTCTTGGATTTGTAATTTCGGACAAAAGCCTTATCCTATAATGCATTCAGCCCAGAGAGCTCTAGAGCCAGGTGACGAAGTTTCCCAGAGCCTTTGGAAGGATCATAGCTGCCTCTCTGTCAACTGCTGTCCCGAGAGTCCTGAGTAAAACGCCTGTTTGGGGGAGACACCACTTACAGTTGAAAATCTAGAGTTGAACAAAGAATGACATGATGTGTTTTGTAAACACTTGATTTCCAATGTTCAATTGAGTTGATTCCCTGAAGCCTATCTGTGACTATTGTTGTGGGAAGCTTGGCTTTCTACCTTGCTTTTAAAATGAATGTCTTCCCCTAATCTCCATACCCTCAATACCTTCTGACTCTGCACCACATAGAAACCATATTGGAGAAAATGAAGCACTGGGGTTTACCTCCCTAATTTACCTGAATCTTAGTGTCTTGAGTGGAATGTACTCTCCTGGGGAAGAATAGGGCTTCCTTCTGACTTCTTCTCAGTCCTAAAAAGGTTTCATCAGAGTCTAAGATAATACAATGTTACCATGTATTCATCACTTCCAGTTATTCTTCCATGTTAAAAAGACTTTATGTGTATACAGATTTACTTGAATCAATGTATGAGTATGCGTTTTAAAAAAAGGTTGTTATTTTTACTTAGGTGTGATGGCATGAGAGTGGGGAGTGAGGGTGGTTCACTGAGTGCCCACAGAAGCCAGCAGATGGCGTTAGGTCCCTTGAAGCAGGAGTTAAAGACTTGTGCTCTGCCCGTCAGGGTGCTGGAGTCAGAACTCTGGAACAGCAGTAGGTGCTTCTAACCATTGAGCCAGCTCTCCAACCCCCTTTTTCTTTCAAAGAAACTTCAAAATGTTAAAACAAAACCTAGTATAAATAGTATAGAAAATTCTTATAAGCCCAGCCCTATATGTCAGTGTTCTACTATAGTTAGGATATCAGTTTGTTCAGAGTAAGTTCCAAAAAGCTAGGCACGGTGGTCTACTACACCTGTAATCACAGCAACAGGGATGTGGAAGCAGGAGGTTCAGGAGTCAGAGGTCATCCTCAGATACATAGTTTCACATCCAGCCAGAGGCATCTGAGACCCCATCTCACAACAGCACACAGTAAGCTTCAGATACAGTGTTCCTTTAACTCCACCGCCACCTGGGTTTTCTAAAAACCAGGGCATTCTCTTAGACACATCACAGGTTTTAAATGAGAAATAAACACTTTTATACAATTGCAGCCAAAATGTTGGCTTATTTGGAATTTTCTTTTTTTGTTTTTTTGAGACAGGGTTTTTCTGTATAGCCCTGACTGTCCTGGAACTCACTCTGTAGACCAGGCTGGCCTCGAACTCAGAAATCCACCTGCCTCTGCCTCCCAAGTGCTGGGATTAAAGGCATGTGCCACCACTGCCCGGCTATTTAGAATTCTCTAATTCCCTGAGTTTTGGGATTCTTTTATTGGTTGTCATCAAGTAACTGTTATAAATTTAGCTTATCAAACCTTTGCTTGTTTAAAATGTTTAATTATTTTGTTTTTTGCATTTTATTCATTTGTGTTTTATACACACACACATACACACGAGTCTGTGCATGTACAGACATCAGGACAACTTGCTGGAGTCAAATCTCTCCTACCATGTGGGGCTCAGAGACTGAAATACTCCAGTTGTTAGGCTTGGCAGCAGGAACCCTTACCAGTGAGGCATCTTACTGGCCCCTGTTCAAAGGAAGTTTTAGTTTATGTGTATGTCTGGGTGTCTGGGTGCATGCATAGCACATATGTGCAGGTGTTGGCCATGGCCAGAGGACGGCATGGATGCCAGAAGGCACTGGAGTTACAGGTGATCGTGAGATGCCTGGCGTGAGTGCTGGGACCCTAACTTGGGTGTTCTTCAAAAGGAACAAGTGCTCTTAACTGTGGAGTCATTTCTCCAGCTCTGTTAGCATTTACTTTGCTTTGAGACAGGATTTTTCTTTGTAGCCCTGGCTGTCCCGGAACTCTCTATGTAAGTCAAGCTGGCATCAAACTTACAGAGTTTGTCTCTGCCTATCTCCGCCTCCTAGGGTTAAAGATGTGTGCCACCATTCCTGGCTTTTTAAATTTTAAAAACCTTTATGTGTATGAATGTTTTGCCTTCTTGCCTGTTTGTGCGTCACATGGCATGCTTGCTGCTCACAGAGACTAGAAGACAGCATTGTATCCCCTGGGACTGGAGTTATAGACGACCATGATCCACCATATAGGTACTTGGAATTGAACCTGGGTCCTCTGGAAGAGCAGCCAGTGCTCATAACCACTGAGTCATCTCTCTGACCCCTGTTCAAAATTTTGAGTGAAAAAATTTCCAACTTCTTGGCTAACTTTTGTGTCCTTTGTACTATTGGCTAGTAAATTATTACTATTATTATTATTATTAAATTATATTTATTTTATATTTTATTTTTATATAATATATTTTATTATATATTTAATTATAATTATATTATTACAATTAAAGGTATCTTTCCTTAAAGCATTTTTATTCATATAGGTGCTTTGCCTGTATGTATGTCAGTGCACCACATGCATACCTGGTGCCCACTGAAACAAGAAGAGCATTAGATACCCTGGGACTGGAGTTACAAATAGTTATGAGTTTCCATGTGTGTCCTGGGAAGTTAACCCTGGTTCACGGAAGAGCAGGCAGTGACTTTAACCTCTGAGCCATCTCTCCAGCCCAGAATAATTGGTTATTGTCTGGTGAGCAGCCCTGCAGTAAATCTTTTCAGTATCTTTATCTCTTTTGAATGATTTTACCAGGACTTATGTGTGCATATGTGTTCATGTGTGTTTGTGATTACACATGTGTTAGTGTTTATGCTTCAGTGTTCAAGGGTAAGAGGACACCTCAAGTGCTATTGCTCAAGTGCTGCCCACCTTGAGGCAGGGTCTCTCATTGGCCTGGGGCTCACAGATTAGCATAAGCTGGCCAGCCAGCAAGCTCAGTTATCTATCTACCTGGCTTCCTGGCCTGGGATTAGAAGTGCAGGCCACCACAACCGGCTATGTTTGTTTGGTTGATTGTTTCAAGACAGGGTTTCTCTGTGTAGTCCTGGCCATCCTGGAACTCAGAGGGTCACCTGCCTCTGCCTCCTGGAGTGCAGGGATTAAAAGCGTGTGCCACCACTGTAGGGTATGCAGGCACTTTGCCAGCTGAGCCATCTCCCTAGCCCTCAGGATCTCTTTGAGTCACTTGTTGATGTTGTTAGTTATCTTACAGAAATTCTGAGAAGTTTGTTTGCTTCTTAGTAAATGGAACATGTCCATTTCTCTAAAGGATAATTCTGAGTATTTTTTGAGCTATCATTTGCAATAATAGGTAAGAAATTGTTTAATTATTTTAATCATTTTGGTCCTTGTTTTCAACAAACCATGAAAGAAAAACTTTACAGTCAACTCAATGCTTTCCACAGAATACTTGATAAGATTCAACATCTTTTTAAAATAAGCTATTCATCATACAAAATATAGTGGCTTATCTCTGTAAACACCCAGGGAGCTAAGGCCAAAGGTCAGGAGTTCAAGACCAGCCTGGGTTAAGCTGAAAGCCCCTGTACTCCCTCCATCCTCCCAGGAAAGATTGAGCATAAGAAAGGGCAAGTGTGCTCTCCATCTTCAGTGAATATCGTTTGTGTGTGAAGCCCCAGCCACTGTAGTAAGACAAAAGTAAGGAAGAAAGTTCGTACAGACTAGAAAAGATGTAAAGTCTTTGCAGGAAAAGTCCTCAGGAATGCTACAAAGAAGTTACTGAACTAAGTAAGTCAGTTTATCAAGGTTGGAAAATGCCAAGTCAAATGCAGGGCTGGAGAGATGGCTCAGCAGTTAAGGCCACTGGCTGCAGCTCCAGAGGAGCCAGATTCAATTCCTAACATGCACACCATAGCTTATGACCATCTGTAGCTCTAACTACAAAGAACTGGATGCCTTCTTTTGGCCTCCTTGGGCACTGCATGTACATGGTACACAAATTTCACGCAGGCAAAACATCCATGAACATAAAATTTAATAAAAATAACAATGTTAAAGCACAGAAATCATTTGTATGTTTTAGCAAAATTATGTTGGTTATCCCCCCCTTTGAGACAGATGTTGTGTATCCTAAACTTACCTTAAACTCACTGAATAGCTGAGGAGTATCTTGAACTTTTAATCCTCCTGCTTCCAACTCCCTAGTGCTGTAATTACAGACATGAACCACTATGCCTGGTTTATCTAGATCAGGGCTCAAACCCGGGGCCTCCTGCATTCTAGGCAAACACTCTTAACTGAGCTCTGTCCCCACCTCTCCCCCTCTTATGTCTTATATGTATCAGTCAGTTTTTAAACTTATCAGAAGTAATTATTTCTTGTCATTCTTCTAGGGGAACCTATGACATTTTAGTGACAAAAGATAATCAAACACGTTCTGTTGGTCAGTATGACAACCGTGGCAGTTTTGGAGAACTAGCTCTGATGTACAATACCCCGAGAGCTGCTACCATTGTCGCCACCTCAGACGGCTCCCTTTGGGGATTGGTGAGTGAGAAATGCATGGTGTAGTGTTTTATCTTCTATAGCCAGTTATGAGAAAATATACTGTCAGAGCTCTTATGTAAATGCATTTTCCCATTTTCTCAGTGACTTAGCCACATGTGCTTTATTCTCAGTTACAGAAATGTAGGTGGTCTATATCCTTGTAGTGACAGGGTTCTTGCTGCATTTACTTATTATTAGGCAATTACAGAGAACAGAGATAACTCTCTGTGTACTAAGTTGTAGCCTAGCAGGGCTGTGGAGTGGGACACTGTCACACACATGCACACACAGAAGAGGAGGACGAGGGGCAGCAGTGACAGTGCTGTCATGAAACCTTTGCTAGGTGTCACTTCCATTCCATCTCTAGCTGTACCAGTAGTGCTTTATTCTGCGTTCAGCCATCCACTTGTCCTTTTGTCTATAGCCATACCCAATAGGTAGATCATCAGGAATGCTAGTGACCATGCTGAGGAAATGGAATTTAGCATTGTCTTTGGTAAAACACTGTAGTTCTTCATTTCTTTCTTTTGCTATTTATTTATTTATTTATTTACCTACATACCTTTGATATTTTGAGACAGGGTTAGTCCGTGTAGCACTGGCTGTCCTGGAACTAATTTTGTAGACCAGGCTAGTCACAGATTTGCCTGCCTTTACCTCCCAAGTGCTAGGATTAAAGGCATGTGCCACCACCACCTGGCTACCTTGTTTCTTTTTGCATTATGTTACATATCCATAATCTGTAACTCTTCAAAAAATATACTACAATTCCAATTTCACTTTTAAAATGAGGATTTCTGTAGTTAGTTCTGCTTCTCTTATAAGAATTAATTTATGTCATAGAATTAATATCTTTCTGATTAATGGAAGAATAATAGATGACTCAAAATTTCCTAAACTTGGTAAAATAGATACAGACATAGATATGAATACACACACACACACGTTTTTATATGTAATATATATTAATTAAAAATAAGTGAATCCTGCCAGAAATGGTAGCACATGCCTTTAATCCTAGTACTTGGAAGGCAGAGGCAGGTAGATCTCTGAGTTCAGACTCAACCTGGTCTACATTGTGAATTCTAGGCCAGTTAAGGCTGCATAGTGAGACTGTCTCAAAAGAAACAACAACAAAAAAAGAGCGAATCCCAAACAAGAAAAGCATAAAGAAATTGATAACCCAGTACATAGCACGAAGTGTCTTGAGTGCAGAGGTGCATCATGAATGCAGAGAACCCACAGTCAGTGCTGAAGAATAGAACCCTGTCAGCTAGTGTTGTCTGCTCCCTGAAGAGACCCTTCAAGAATGAGAACATTCTCATTGGAAGGAGACTGACCCTGAAGGAATGACCAAAGCCAGTTCTGAAGGGAAGCAATAGAAGCAGGGAAGTTAGAGACACTATATACCAAATAGACAACAAAGAGGAAATGCAGTTAAACAGTGAGCAGTCTTGTTTCAGTTTTCTACGTCATGTGAGACAGTTTAATTAAGAGCTTGTACACTGACTGTGGTAGTTGTTATACATGAAAAAGTATTTGAGACAGCTACATTTTATAAAGGGGGAGAGGCCAGACTGAAGTAAAACCTATCAAACTAGTCCAGTTTTGCAGTACATTGATGTGAATCATATGTCTAATGTAAGCCTCAAGCAGCCTCTAGAAAGGTCTCTAGCTGAATGCAGTGGCATGTTTCTTAGTCTCAGCTCCTCAGGAGGCTTGAAACATGAAAATCACTTAAGCCCAGGATTTCAGGGTCAAACTAGGCAACATAATAATAATCCATCTCCCCACCACCACCACCAAAAATTGTATAGAGATGTAGTCAAATTTTATAAACCAAATTCCAGAAAGTGTTCATGTAATCCATGAGGAAATGGGAAAAAGTGAAACAAAGGTTATAAAAAAGAAAGAAGGAAAACAAGGAACAACAAAATAAAATAGATGCAAGCCTTAATATGATAATTAATATGTTATCTAAATAGGGCGGTGGTGGTACAGTCATAGTCCCAGCACTTAGGCCGAACAGGAGGATCGCTACAAACATGAAGCTGCTTAGTCTACATCGGAGTGAAGGCCAGGCTACACAGGGCTGCAAAGCAAGACCCTGTCTCAGTAGAAACCTTTGTTTTGTTTGCTAAGTGGCTTTGTGTGCAAATGTAACACCCTGAGTTCAGTCCTCAGAACCCACAATGGAAGGAGAGAACTAACGTATGACAGTTGTTCTCTGACCTTCACTAATGCACCTGTGCTCAATACCCCCCACCCCATAATAATAATGATAAATATAACTTTTGTCTCTTTAAAGGAATAAAAATGGGCTGGAAAGATGGCTCAATGGGTTAGTGCTGCTCTTCAAGTGCTGGGATTAAAGACGTGTCATTGTACCCAACAACAGTGTTTCAGTCTTAATTGCCCTCGTTCTACAATATTTTTGGCCCAGATTAGCCCAGAAAATACACAGAAATTGAATTTTAAAAATAATGGCATAATATTTCAAAGTATGAGAGGAACTTTTTAGACATTTATTTATTTTATGTATATGAGTTTACTGTATGTAGCTCATCTTCAGACTGTAGGTGTCTCCAGAAACACCAGACAGATGGTTGTGAGCCACCATGTGGTTGCTGGGAATTGAACTCAGGACCTCTGGAAGAACAACTGGTGCTCCTAACCGCTGAGCCAACTCCAGCCCATGAGATAAAGAAATTAGTGGCAGGTGATGCATCCCATGAGAGCAGTAAAGACTGAGTAGCTCCTGTCAAGCAAGCTGATGGTGAAGATAATGAAGACCAACCTGCTCAGTGCCAGAGAGCTGTAGAACACTGCAGTTTAGAGCAGTAGAGGAGGAGACCCACAGTCACCTATACTGGGAAATAAGTGACTTCTTTGGTTCAGTAAGTGAATCAAGCCATGAGACAGGGCCTGCAATTCTGGAGCTGATGCACTAGAGCCCATAAACCCACATTGTCTCCTGTGTCTCTCCACCATGCTTCTCCCTGCCATCAAGGATGCTAAGCAGCTGCAGTTCCGCACTGTCTGTCTTGTGGCTTCATTCTTCAGTCTTTATATTTAGGATGTCATTACTGTGTGTAAAAACATTCCTCTCTGACAGCCAGAGGTAGAAGAAAAATACTACTAACTTAGATCAGATTCCAAAACCATTTTATTTTATTGTGAGACAGAACTAAGTTGCTCAATTGGGCCTCCTGATGTAGAGTCTTCTGTCTGTTGAGTGTCTGAGTTCATAGGTTTACACTGCCCTGCCCTGGAGTCCGTCAGGAAAGGACTGTAGTGTTTGCATTCTGTGCTTTGGCCTAATACATTTCAATTCAAATGCTATCTTTATATTTCCCCCAATTCTTAACTATTTTATGCTTTGTTTTCTTTTTGTTTTTGTTAGAGATAGGGCCTCACTATCATCTAGGCTGTCCAAGAACTTAGCTTGTAGCCCAGACTGATCTTGGATGTATGGTTTTCCTGCCTCAGCCTCCTAAATGTTGATTAAGGCCATGGGCCCTGTATATTTTGTGTTGTCTTTTCATTATAGTTAAAAACTCTTGACAGCATTGTTTGCCTTTTCTGGACGGTACCTTTTGGTACTGTATAATACCTGTGAACACTCAGGTAGTTAATGGAAGTTTTGTTTGTGTTCTATTTATGGCTCATAGGTGGCACTCATTGAGCAGAGCAAACTACAGTTTGGAGACTTCTGCCTAGCCCAAGTTAGACGGTTTTTTTCTTCCAGTATCATTAAACTCTGTTGATGCAGCGACTTCCAGCTCCCTAGTAGTGGTTCAGCTGTTTAAACCATAAATGTTCTCTTACACAGACGTATAGTAGAATTTTCCTATTTTTTTCTTGTAGGACCGGGTGACTTTTAGAAGAATCATAGTGAAAAACAATGCAAAGAAGAGGAAGATGTTTGAGTCATTTATTGAGTCTGTGCCACTCTTTAAATCACTAGAGGTAAAGTTTGAATAAAAGTCTGTTTATGTGGTTTATAAAAACCTGTTAAAACTACTCTTAGGTTTTCAAATAATACTGTTGTAACCTAGTTGTAACAATAACATTCAGTCAAGGTTTTATCCTTATACTATATAACTGTATCCATTATTTAGGTGTCAGAACGAATGAAGATTGTGGATGTGATCGGGGAAAAGGTCTATAAGGATGGAGAACGAATAATCACTCAGGTGAGTCCCGGTCCCACACGCCTGCTTTTCTGGAAGTCACCATCTCAAGGAACAGTGTCCTGCTTATGGACTGAGTATGGTAATGCACATCTGTAATGCCAGCATTTAGGAGGGAGTAAGCCAGGCGGTGGTGGCACATGCCATTAACCCAACACTTAGGAGGCAGAGGCAGGCCAATCTCTGCGTTTAAGGCCAAACTGGTCTGCAGAGTAAGTTCCAGTACAGCCATGGCTACACAGAGGAAACCCTGTCTTAGAAAATAAAATAAAACAAACAAACAAAAAAATAGGCTAAGATAGTAGGTTCACAAGTTCAAGGCCAGCCTGGGACACATTATATTACTCTGATTCCAACAGAAAACAAAGATTTAGCTGGGCATCATGGCACATACCTTTAATCTCAGCACTAAGGAAAGAGAAATAGGTGGGGCTCTGTGAGTTTGAAGCCAGCCTGCTCTATACCAAGTTCCAGATCAGCCAGAACTATTTAAAGAGCCCCTATCTCATTAAAAAAAAAAGAAAGAAAGAAAAAAGAAAAAAATGTACTGTCCCCCACTACTGGAAGCTCATGTAATCTCTTGTACAGAGACCTCGGAAGTTCATTGATGCCCATCTCCCTGATGTAGTTGAAGAAACAGGGACTGAACTCACATGCTAAGCCAAGTCTTCTGCCACTGAGCCGAATTCTTAGCTCATTTTATTTGTGTGTTGAGACAGTATTATCAAGTCATCCTAAGCTTGGAAGCCTTCAAAGTCACTGTGATTGTACCATGTGTTGCTAGGCTCAGACCTCCATTCATCTGGGGGTGAGCTCCTGTCATTTGTTCTACTGGGTATTATTTTCTTTTGACTTTAAGTAAACTTTATTAATTTGTACTAGAATCCAGAGAAGACTGGGGCTTATACTCCCTGTTGTCTCTGTGCTGACACCAGAATCCTCAGCATTCAGTGATAAATCAGATCTATGAGATGTCCTTGATAGGGAGATCCTTTGTTTCTTTTCCATTAGTTGTTTTTGGATAATGTAAGATTACCACACAGTAAACTGGACTATTATAATTAAAGAAGATTGCAAGGTGGGCATGGTGGTGCATACCTAGAATCCATCACTTAGGAGGTAGAGGCAAGTGGGTCGGGAGTTCAGGACCATACACAGCTACATAATTTTTGCTCTCCTGTGTTACGTGTAATGTCTTTTAGAAATATAATTTATGCCCAGCAGTGGTGGCGCACGGCCTTTAGTCCCAGCACTTGGGAGGCAGAGGCAGGCGGATTTCTGAGTTTGAGGCCAGCCTGGTCTACAGAGTGAGTTCCAGGACAGCCAGGGCTACACAGAGAAACCCTGTCTCGAAAAAAACCAAAAAAAAAAAAAAAAAAAAAGAAGAAGAAGAAATATAATTTTCTCTGTCTATTGTGTTTGTATTTTAATTACATGTAAGTAGTTTTAGGGACTTTTCCAGATATAAATGTATCTGCCCATGAGTCTGACAAGACCACTGAGGAAGGTGTCCTTGAACCCAGCTTTGATGAGGAGGATGGTTTCAGATCAGTGTGAATATCAGCCCTGTGTGCTTGAGTCCTCATAGAACTGGCCCCACCAGAGCTTTGAAAACTAGTCAAACCTGTGGTGAAAGAGGAGGAGAGAGTCCACTAGAGCACTGAGAGAAGTATCCTGTTCATCCCAGGTTCCAGATCTGAATGCCTCTGCTTCTAGGTATATTTATATAGTTGAAGACTAGAATAAACAAGACTCAAGTGATGCCTACAGTGATGATGCCCACAGTGATGATACACACTGGTGATGCATATACAAAAAGTGAGAGTGCAGAATAGGAAGTAACTAATCCATCGTGTTATTTGTAAAGGAAACTTTTCAGCTGGGCCTCCAGAGTAACTGCAAGTGCTTTTTTTTTTTTACAGGTTTATGCAAAACTCAGTTTCTGCCTTGAATATACAGAATACAAATGCCATGAAATGCCCATGCTTACTTTATGAAGTAAAAGTTTGCTTACATTTATATTATAAAATTAAGGCAATGAACTGTATAGAAAAAAAAAACACATTTGTTCTGCTTAAAGCATAGCATAACTTGTTCTCCACATTATTGCAGATTTGCACCATAGTGCATGACATACTGTTTACATACATGCTAGCCAGTGAGGCTGGGTATGGTGGCCCATCCCTAGGGGTTTTTCTCTTTCAAGTTATTGGCCTGGAGTTGGTCCTGTCCTATCTTTGAAATTTCAGTATCGAGTGTACAGATTGGTGTTCTTTTTTTTTCATTTCATATAATATTTGTGCCTCTTTTCTTGCTCAGACTTGGCAGTGGCTTGTTAGTCCTTTTGCTTATCTCTGTGACTTTCTGGCAGAAGCAACTTCCTGAAGGGAAGGTGTTGCGGTAAATCTCCAACCCAAGTAAGACCTGTCAAAGAAAACACAACTCAATAATTATGAATATAAGCTGCATGCCTAGATTGGGCAGATTCACCACTACACTACTCTATTCCCCAGCTATGAGACCCTTATAACTTGCAGGTTTTCCAAGTCATGCGTTTGTCCTTTCACCTCCTGCTCCTCTGTCGTTGTTGTCCTCCATTGTCTTCCTCCTCTGTTGTTCCTCCCTCTCTCTCTTCCCACCAACCTTTATTTCTCCTCCTCCCCTTCTCTGCCCAATCACTGGCTCTAGCAAATTAAGGTGGGCAGAAGGTTTACAAGAAGTCACCTGTGTACTGATTCACTCCTGCTCTGAAGCCCTTCCCAGGAAAGGGGAATTAGCATCAAAATACAAGGCCGGGACCTGGGCAATCTGCAACACTTCCCCCTTTCTGTCCAATTAAAAGACTCTTTTCTCCCAGATATAAATTGAACACAACTATATTACCATATTATAATTGTTAAAGTACAAGATAGACCTAACACCCAGTCCATTGTTTTTGTTAACTAAATAGAACCTCTGTCATCTCTCCTAACTAAAAGTTCTAAACCTGGCTTTTTTCCTGGCTTTAGAGTGAATGTCAGCAGAAACTCAGCCTCTCAAATCTGTTCTCTCAATGTAAATAGCCTGGGTTAGCTATGAGACTATAAGTCTTCAACCCCGTCAGAAATCCAGAATGACTGAATTAACTGAAGTTATGGTAAGCACAAAGCATAGCTTCTAAAACTTAGCCAATATACAGAGACCACTGAACACCTGGACAGCCCCTATACTTTAAAATGTTGGAGCATCCGATCTTCAGCCTTCTGGCCCAGGATCATCTGACAGACCTAGTGATGCAGAATTATTAAGGGCTGATTACTGTCTTGGCCGATATAATCAGTCAACTATTCAGCAAATGTGTCCTTTTCTGGATAGTAATTTGTCTGTAGATGAAAAGAGGCAGTTCTTGCCCAGTGGCTGTCTCACCACAACTGGAGTAACTCCACAGATGCTCAGTTTCTTCTTAGAATCTAAGACAGGGAAGCTGTCAGGAGCAGACAGGTCTCTAATCAAATGAACATTAATATAGGAATGTTTGTAGCATCAATTCTGTGGACTTCTGACGTTTTTGAAAACCAATTATCTGTGTAAAGCAATCTTGCTTTGCTACTGTTGTCCATTAACTCCTCTCAGCTATTTCTAGAAAACACCCTAACAATGAACTCAGAGCCATGCAATTGCTATAGGCCCTTAACTCACAGGCTAACCATTTCAAATCAGTTAAAAAAATTTAAAGGACTGGGTCTAAGCCTTCTACTCCTAAATGTGTTATATAGGCACAATGCCTATGAGAGTAACAATATTAATCTCACTTTTATATCAATAAGAAACTCATACCAATGAAAATCTTAAATTTGAAATCAAAATAAATTTTGTACCATTTAAGAAATATAACGACAGCTTAATAACAATTATACAGGTTTCTACCGAGTAGGTTATGGCTATGCAATAAATCCTAGCTATTCCTCCCTGTTCCAACAAAACCACTACTTTTCCCTAGAAAGACAGCCCAATATTAACCACCTCAGTCCTCAAGCCCAGGGAATAGGGGTGCCGACTCTTCATTAACTTCTTCAAGCTGAATTTGGGCGTTGAGATATTAGAAGAAGGGCGGGGGAAGGGTAAATTGATAGGCCTCTGATGTCTGTGTCTTCACTGCATCCAGCTGAAATTTCAGGATATCAGAGGTTTGAGCAGGTCTGCTCAGCTTGCTTGATGAGTAGATACACCAAGGCTGTGTATTTCTGCAATATATAATTCAAAACAAATTTTAGTATCAAGATAATTTTTTTGTTTGAATTCTGGAATCCAGTCTTCTGGTGGCCTGCCTCTGTCATGTTTAATCCAAATAATTCTGGGAGGTAGAAATATCTTAATAGTCTCTTCTGAAAACACACAGACGAAACCTTTTTCCCAAAACAGCGTTATCTTTGAGCCAGTAACCAGAAAAACCTTTATCTTGACCTCTTTCCCAGAGGAAAAATATAACCACAAAACTGAAAATCACACCCATCTTCCTTCCCTATTTTGCCAAGCAGGAAATGAACCCAGAATTCCCATGGGGCCCACGTTAGACAGAACCCGAGTCTCCTGTGAGGCAATATAACTTTATATCATCTGAATATACCTGATTTACACTATCTTTCTGTTCAGCCCTCTGCCTAGAACATTTTTTTATTTATACCATCTATGTGTTTGGCTCTGTACTCCAGAGCAGCTTCCACTTGTACACTGTACTCTTCTACTCTAGAGCCAATGACAATTTTCCCTAAGTCAATTCCTGTCAAACCATTCAAAATATCACATAAAGCCCAAAAGATATTTATTGTATTTCTCATCTTTAAGTATCAAAAGGTTATATATCTTCGAGACAGAGTTTCTCTATATAGCCCTGGCTGTCCTGAAACTCACTCTGTAGACCAGGCTGGCCTCAAACTCAGAAATCCGCCTGCCTCTGCCTCCCAAGTGCTGGGATTAAAGGCGTGCACCACCACCGCCCGGCATATATCTTTTTTATATCAAATAATTACCTGGTCCAGAGCCCTCAGTTCACTGTTTCTGCCTGAAAACTACTTCACAGGCAGTTGTGTTCCTCCCTGCAGTTTTCACAGGGCACTGATCCAGCCCAGCTGCAGGCTGACTCTGCTCCTGACTCTGGCTGTAGCTCTCTGTTTGGGATTGGGGGAGGAAGTCTCTCTGCCATTCTTTGTAGGCCCCTCAGATTCACTCAGCTCTTTATGGGGGTTTTACCTCAGGTTAGTTGAGTTCTAAGCAATAAGTTGGGAGCCAATTTGTTGAGCTAAATCTCCAACCCAAGTAAAACCTGTCAAAGAAAACACAACTCAATAATTATGAATATAAGCTGCATGCCTAGATTGGGCAGATTCACCACTACACTACTCTATTCCCCAGCTATGAGACCCTTATAACTTGCAGGTTTTCCAAGCCATGCGTTTGTCCTTTCACCTCCTGCTCCTCTGTCGTTGTTGTCCTCCATTGTCTTCCTCCTCTGTTGTTCCTCCCTCTCTCTCTTCCCACCAACCTTTATTTCTCCTCCTCCCCTTCTCTGCCCAATCACTGGCTCTAGCCTTTATTTTACAAATTAAGGTGGGCAGAAGGTTCACAAGAAGTCACCTGTGTACTGATTCACTCCTGCTCTGAAGCCCTTCCCAGGAAAGCGGAATTAGCATCAAAATACAAGACGGGCAGGGGCTATCCACAACAAGTAGGAACATTTCTTCTGGTCACAGTTTCAGGGGAATCCTGGTGGCAGGAACAAGTCAATCTGTGGTAATCAGAAAGAGAAAAGATGAAAGGTAAGGCAGATTGTAAATCTCTCAGGCAGACTCCTAGTGACAGAAGTAGGCCCCATGATGCAGAGGTTCAGAAACTGTCTCCAGATGGGGACCAAGTGTTCAAATACTTGAGCCTTTGGGAGACATTTTACATCCAAACCATAACACAAAAATCTTTCAGTTCTTTGACAGGATCTAGCTGCATAGCCTAGGCTAGCCTCAAACTCACAGCAGTGTCTCTGCCTCAGCTGACTGAGTGCTGTGTTTATAGGCATGAGCCATCATTCCAGGCTGGAACCAGATTCACTCAGGCAAGTCAGCTTCAAATGGTGTCCATTTGGGGTTTGAAATGTGGGTCAAACATAGGACTCATGCTTAGCAGGGCACACTCTCACTGAAGACAAAAGCCACACCAAGCTGGGTGTGTGGTAGAGCACTTGAGAGGCAGAGGAAGGAAGGTTGATGAGAATGAGACTAACCTGTCAGACATAATGCATGCCAGGCCAGCCAGAACCGTGTAGCCAGACCTGGGTCCGAACAAAACCAACCCATAGCCCATGATTGCTATCGAATTGTTCTTGGTTTGACCCAGGAGTTAATTGTGAGGGTGAGAATGTGGAACAAGCCAAAAGCTTTGTCTCCCCTGTCTGCTCACCAGAGTCTCCCTTCCTGCCAGCTTTTGCTCAGGTCTCACCCTTCCCCAAAGTTGTGTTGTACACAGTAGCCCGTCCACCTCCTGACAGCGGAGAGCCTGTGGTCCCTGTTCTGTTCTTGTCCTGTACACTTGCCACCCTCCAACTCAACTGTGTAATTTACTGACTATCATGTTTCTTGGTAGTTTGTTTTATGTATTGGTGCATCCCTCATGGCCCTAGGACAGTGCCCTGCACAGAGTCAGTACACGGCACATGATTTGTCAAATTCCCCAAATGGCTCATTCAGCCAGGTACTTTAGTAGTAAACCAAGCAGAAAGAAAGCCTAAAGCTTAGAAAGGCAGCCTTAGAGCACCTGCTGCACCAGGCAGAGCCGCCTGCAGCCTTGCTGTCCTCTTCCTCTGTGTGTGTGTGGGGGGGGAGGGGGCGTGTCGAGGACAGCCTTCCTGTGTGGGTGTAGGGGGTGCCGAGGACAACCTTCCTGTGTGTGTTTGGGGGGGGGGTGCTAAGGATAGCCTTCCTGTGCGTGTGTGAGTGTGTGTGTGTGTGTTGGGGTGGGTACTGAGGACAGCCTTCAGTGTCATTGCTCATGCTAAGTCCACTTTAAAAGAAAGAAGAAAGGAAAAAAACACAAAGTAGAACAAAAATAAATTAAAAAACAAGGTCTCACTAGATGTGGTAACACAGGCTTTAATCCCAGCACTCAGGGCAGAGGCAGGTAAAACTCTTGAGTTAGTTCAAGGCCAGCCTAGGCTAGCAAGTTCCAGGACAGGCAGCCATGGCTACACAGAGAAAGCTATGGGGGGAGAGAGTGCGAGGGAGGGGTACAAAGACTAAAACAACCAAGGCCTCTTACTGGCCTGCAGTTTGCTAAAGTCAGGTTGGCTGGCTAGCAAGTCTCCAGGGCTTTGCCTGTGTCTGCTCCCCAGCTCTGAGATCATAGATTTGCATTACCACACTTGGCTCCTCCCACCCCAAACATAGGCTCTGAGGATTGACCCTCAGGTCATTGTGCTCGGTTTCCAATGCTTGAACTTCTTCCCTTTCTCTTTTTGGGACTGTGTTTGTTGATCAAGATTATTCCTAGACCTCATACTCTGGGCCTTACTTTCAGACTATTTGCAGTGTTTTTGTCTACTGGTCCCTGGAATGGGTTTCAGCACACCAGCGTAGGCAGTCAGAGCGGAGATGCTGTGTAGTTGGTGACCTGGTCATATTCCTAGATAAATATGAGTGAAATATGAGAGAAATATGAGATAAATATGAGAGAAATGTTAGTCATAGTGGGGTTAATGTTCTCATTGATCAGGAACCTCTAATTTGTTACGAATTTGTTAGCCACTGATTCACTTGAGCAGTTGGAGAGAGAGATCGGAGGCCAGACGGTACGCACAGTCTTCAGTGGTGGACATGTCTCTGACCTAGCCTCTTCTTTTTCAGGGTGAAAAGGCTGACAGCTTTTATATTATAGAGTCTGGAGAAGTGAGCATCTTGATTAGAAGCAAGGTGAGTTTGGATGTACCCTTCACGTGTCCTCCTGCCAGTGTTTGTTCTGTACGGTGTGGTCTGTACTTCAGGGCACCAAGCCAACGTTCTCTAAGGTGTGGAACTGCCTTAAAAAGATTTAGTACATTTTCTCCTATCTCAATTTTGCCTCTCTCATATAACTAGTGAAATGAGGGTTACTGATCTAAGAATATAAAAACACTAAAATATAGGACCATTATGTAATAGGTACACATAAGGTTGGTTGTGAGGAAGGCATCCCTGGTTTAGGACTGCTAGGGAAAGTCTCCATTACGTACTCCCATGGCATTCATGGAGAGACAGATGTTATAACTGATGACCTGTAGCAGGAAGAATACTCTCTATGTATCGTTTCCTCCTCCTCCTCCTCCTCCTCCTCCTCCTCCTCCTCCTCCTCCTCCTCCTCTT